TAGCTGTCAAACAAAACCCAAACAGTCCTGACCCGCCACAATATGAAACAGGGAAGTACCGCCGTGTAATCCATTTATTTCAACAAAGTAGCTGTATTCTAAATACCACCTTTTTAAAACGGTAACTGTGACGGAATACAGTTACAGTATTATAGTAACGGAATACTCATATTTTGTATTTTAAATACGTAACGGCGGTACATGTATTCCGTTACTCCCCAACACTGAGTATAGTATACCTATAGCTGAGCTTTCAAATGAAGTTTTATTTAAAAAGAAATCATGATAACTCACTGCCAAAATTCTACAACAGAAGATGATGAATTTACAGGTAACGTCCAGTTGAGGGTGGCATTGTAGTTGTTTATTACCACACAACGATCTGAAATAGATTAAAACACAGTCAAATATGACAAATCTTCAAATGCTTGAATTTTATTTATGTCAGTTAAATTGCTTAAGCAAGATGTCACATTTAGAAACACAATGAAGTGACATTAACATTATGCATACTATTTTTAAGGCCACTGATTTTTTGGTGTATGCAAAGGCAGAGAAAAGTATAATAGCAACATGTGTATTTACTTGTATTCCAGGTGTTATTACAGGTGGCCCATGGCAACTCTCCAGAGAAGGAAGAGAACAAGTAGAGAAAAGCCCAGGCTAAAATCACAATATAGCTGATGCTTCCGTAGAAAATGATCATTTGGCTTGCATATCCCATGCCTGGAAACAACAACTGTTAGCATTGCATTCTCTTACTTTTTCTTCATTGATCTGCTTCACCACAATTCCAGTGGTTAGCTCACCTTCAAACAAGGGGCAGACCTTCCTCCAGCACATGATTCCTCCCTGACTGGTGTACTGGCCCAGTGCCGTCTCCAGCACAAATAGAGGTATGCCACATGTGAGAAGGAATAGGATGTAAGGGATGAAGAATGCGCCTGCAGGTGACAACAAACTACATTAGCACATGACTGGTATACTATATAGCAAAAATATTCATGTTCATCTTTCAAGACAATAAGTACTTACTTGGGCAATGCTAGGATATACTTTTGAATCATGAGAGAAAAATCTAGCTACAGAAACATGTCATATCTGTAGTTAGTAGACTATAAAGGTATTATGAGTGGACTGAAAAGAACTGGGCCCAGGAGGGAACCTTGGGGTACACCACAAATGGTTTGTTTTTTGTTAATGGAATTAGACTTTTCTGATTGGCTAGAATGGATGTCTCACTTGTATCTGCAGTGACACACAGTTACACACAAGTGAATATTACTGGAACTATCTCTGACTGAATTTTCACACAAAGGACACAGTTGAAGGCAATTTGTCTGAATATAAATATATTTTATAGTCTATGTACTTTAGGAAAGGTTCAAAGCCTAAGGTGTAAAATACGGTGGTGCAGCGGCCCAGCTTTAAGCCGGACCTGCTGCCCTTGGCTTCATGTCTTCCCTTTCTCTCTCCTCATTTTGTTATCTATCTTCATTGTTTTATTAAATAAAGTCCAAAAGGCCCCCAAAACAATCTTTTTTTAAAAAAGAAATTTGCATCTAGTTAATTAAAACACCTAGAGGATCTATCTTGAGATATCTTTTTGCAATGCACTTTTAATGAGATGACTATAAATTATACGTTTTTTTCTGCACAATCTGATGTCATTTTGTGTTGCTTTTATGCAAAGTATTTAAATTTCCAATCTTCTTACATTGAGCAATGTTACAGTAAACAATATGACTAAATCAGTAGTGGTGCTTAACTTAACTATCAAAAGCTATACCCAGCCACTTACAGTGTCCTGTCCATGACACATCAAGATAAAGGAACTGTTCATGTGGATTAGGAACACTGACAAACGACTGAAGCCAGCAGAATGTAAAAGATTATACACGGTTACAGAATCTGCTGCAGCATCAGTCTTTACATTATTATTTCTGAGATTCCGATTTTTTATAACTGCAGGGAGATGTTTAGAAGTACAACAGTAGAAACCAGGTCAGGTTTCAGGATGATGCTGTTATAGTATGTAATAGTGTGTGGTCTAAAATAGGATGATTTAGAAAAAGACAGAAACCTTTGAGATATCTCTGTTAGCTGATAGTTTAGATACATTCATATTTACATAATTCAATTGTTCAGCTATTTTTTTATGAGGTAAGCTAATAAAGCCACAAGTATTTTTTATTGCTGTTGCCAAGCAGGATGCAGGATGATTCTTTCTGGGGCAGTTCACTTTCTTCCATTGTCAAATAAGTGCTACCTTGAGCGACTGTGTGTGATTCTTCTGTGACACATGGCTTTTCTCAGTAAGAAAAAAAAAAAGGATGGGAAATAAGAACCCTGAATTTATCACTTGTTATGGGGACACTTGATCAAATTGAAACAACGGCTGATAACGTCTATGAGCAGATTGTCAATTTCTCAAGGATAAAAGCTAGAACATTTATATAATGTCATCATTTTGCTATGGCTGAAAATAGTCGTAAGGCCTGAAGTTTATTTGTTTGAAATGCCTCTGACATATCTGTCCTCATTTAAGGTCAAAGAAGGGGCAAATCACCAACTTTCAAATGAACATTTCCATCCCTAAGAGGTAAGTCAATAATATTTCATCTGTTTTTTGTTTGTTTGATTTCATTCATTCATTTTTGGAACGTTATCATCAAAATCTGCCACGTGAAATGTTTACGATGTCCAGTTTGTTTCCAGTTTAGCACCATCACAGCTGGATATTTTTTCATTCAAGTGGAGCAATGCTGAACTTAAAGGGCTTCAGCAAAGAATCTGATTGTGTTTTTTGGCATGGATCCAGACTGAATGTTATTTTTTATAGCCTTTTGTAACCTGTCAAATCCTTAATCAACAGGCAGACAGAGACACAGATGGATAGCAGATACACTTCACATTGGACAGTTTTAATCATTTGCAGCTTTTAACAAAACTTTGAATGAAAGTATTTGGCAGTGAAAATAAATATCTAATTAAAGCCCATAATTGTACTTTGGTGAATAATAAAAACATATCTTCTCAATTCCTTAAGAAAAAAAAACACTGTGATCAACCATAATACTACACTTTTAATAATTAAGGATAATGAATAGAAATACTTACCTCCACCATTCTTGTAGCAAAGATATGGAAATCTCCACACATTGCCTAGTCCAATAATAGCACCGGCCACAGACAGGATGAACTCCTTTTTGCTGCCCCACTTGCCACGCTCTTCAACAGTTTTTGAAGTGCTCTTTGTGGGGAGATGAAACAGCCTGCACAGAGAGTCTGCCATACTGCTGAGCAAGTGGTCTGATGGTAGTACTGGCAAAGACTCTTGAGTGTCTGGATTGACTGGCTGGGGACTGTCTGATTTGTATTGGGTTACCCAATGCTTATCTAATTGATGACCTGCACGGCCACAAGGGGGACCTCTAGATTTATACCCAAAAGTAATTTCCCAGCATATAGCCGACAAACAGGAGAGAGAAGCACATGTGACTAATCTCTTTTTGAGCATGGTATTGAAGGCTTAGAAAGCAGGGTTCACTGTCTCAAACCACCTATAAATGACTAACAACTACAGTAAAAGTGATAGTTTAACCAAGTTAAAAACAGAGATTAGTCTCATCTCAGTCTTCTTGCATTCATGTATATTGTTATACATTATTACAGTTTTGTGTAATAAAACATACAAGGATCATGCAGGAAATTTCCAATACTTAATACCGAAGTCCCCAAGAGAGTCTTTGCCAGGAGGCCAAGAATTTCTAAAGCCTCATTAGATGCCATTTTCTGTGTGCTGTGTACATTTTGTTCCATAAGAAGAAGTTCAGCTAAATGCCTTAGCACCATGTTGCCTTCTTAATAATGAAGACTTATAGATATTTTGTTTATTTTTAGAGGGAAAATTTGGGACTCTTCTACTGTGAAGCTATACTGTAGTGTACACACTGCAGCGTGCGGTTTAGCATTGTCTTAAAGAAATATGCAAGGCCTACTTCAAAAAAGATTGTTGAGGGGAGCATATGTTGCTCTAAATAATGTACAGACCTTTCAGCTCTGTGCCTTTCCAGATGTGCAGTTTGTAATTAAGTAATTTGCATCTTATTTCCTGTGCAAGCAGTAAAGACACACTCGCTTTTTCACAGGGCTACATAAAGTCTGGTGAAAACTTTATTTTCACGTGACCATATGTGACAAAAGCTTTGAAGATGGTAACCACCTTCCTTGCAAGTGGGTAGAAGCAACCTTAGTGGGATTCAGTTTCACACTGGTTATGTCATGTAAAAGATTTTTTTTTTTAAAGCAGGCCTCAGGTTTTCCCCACTAAATGACCCACAATGCCCTTTAAGATGAAGTTTCTATAGTCTCAGTGTAGTCTTTATTATCTGAATCTGGAGAGAGTTGCTTTAGCCTCATCTGGATAGATGAGCTGACATAGAAACAGAAATATGTCCAGTAAGAAAATTAACTTCAAAACTAGGTAGCAGAGCATCTTTACACAGTCATTCAGAGTTGTTCTCAGGGTTCTCCTGGCTGCCTGAAACATTTCTGCTCATTCTTGATAAAGTGAACCTTGAGCTCACATTATTTATAAACACTCTAAACATCACTCTCACATCAGAATATGTGCCCATAATTATGTGCTAGAAATGTTTCCAGTGCACAGTTGAATCCAAATGGTACACAGGTGTGTAGAAAGTTGTGGGGAACATAAGTTCTTGTTCTATCTAGAGAAATCAATCTTTAGTAAGGATTTGTAGAAGTAATATAGGTTGGTGAACTTTAACCTCCTAAGACCCGAACTCTTCCACAGCATGCATTTTTAATTTCTCTTTGATATTTGGGCATATTGGGGACCGGTGAATGTAAAAACAAAGGATTACCAGATATTTTTTTAACCTTATTTTTGTTTTTATGAAAAATAAGAGCCACATATGAGGATATTCGTCTAAAATTTCGATAGAACAGTAGCCACTCCATTATACTCGTAAGTATCCACTTATGAGTATAATGTCCTCGTAAGTGGATATCAGGCCCTTGTAGAGCAAAATTGAGTCCACATATGTGGACGCCAGGTCCTAGGAGGTTAATGGTGTAGCTGTTATTCCTCACAGTGTGTTTGTGCTCAGGATGCACAACACTTTTTGCATTTGGCTCTATTTTGATGATGTCCTTTTGCAGTTTCTGCAACAGGTAGCAGACCTGGTGCAATAAACTTTAGTGAAGTGGTATCTTTAACAGGACTGGTTTTCTCAGTTTCAGATTAATTGATGGATATGTATTCTATTGTGATAATCAAGTTAAACTCAACCATTTGTCACCATATCTGCAGGAGTTGATTTTGATGAGGTTAATGTTAAAAAGTTCCTGTTCTTCTTACTGTGACACATGCTGAGCAAACACAACAAAAATAAAAAACTTTTTATTTACTTTTAACTTTTTGGATAAACTAAATTGTCTATGTTTAGGAAACTAAATATATGACTTTGATTTTTCAGCTGTTAATGTTTTCTATTTCATGTATCACTTGATATCTATGTTTTCTTCTACTTCCCTTATAACTTGTCCTAGTATTATGTTGCCTCCAAGTATCTAGTAACTAAATTACTCGTATTCATTTCCATCATTTCTTCTCATCAAGGACTATTTATGAGCATCTCACTATTTCAAAGTCACAGCAGGGGGCACCTCAGGATCTTTGATACCGCTCTCTGAGTGGAGACTGATACTTTCCTCCTTTGCTGCCAGTGTTGGCTTTCCCACAAGTGCTTTGCTCCTTTTGGCAAATTCTCTTTGATTAAGCAGTGAAACAACTATTCAGAAAATAAAATTAAGTTTTGATACCACAATGTTAAAATATTCCTTTACAAATAAAAATCCTGCATGCATAATTTAAATTCAGTTCAATTCAATTGTATTTATATAGCGCTAAATCAAAACAACAGTCACCTCAAGGTGACTAAATTAAATTAAAACATGCGAACATGTGAGTCAAAAACAGGGTTTGAGCTTGAAAATCAATATTTTCAATATTTTATCAATATCAATATTTCAATATTTTATAATCAATATTTTCAGCTTCATTCTTCAACACGGTCTGAATTCTCTTAGGCAGACCTTCTTATAATTTCTTTAAGTAGTCTTTAGGAATAGTTCTCCGGGCTTCTTAAAAGACATTCAAAGCTCTTCTTTGAATGTTGGCTGCCTTTTGTTCTGTTATCTGTCAACATGATCCCATACTGCTTCAATATTGTTGAAGTCCAGGCTCTGGGGAGGTCAACGTGTGATTCGTCACTCCAGAGATCACATCTCCACTGCTCTAGAGTGCAGAGACATTCCTTCTTGTCCCACTTTGTTATAATACCACTAACAGCTGACTGTAGAATATTTAGTAATGAGGAAATTTCACGACTGGACTTGTTGAATTTTGCTTTCTACCAGAAAATCTTGAAAGAGAATGTCTATCAAGTCATCCCCTGAAGCTCAAGTGCAGTTTGGCTATGCAAGTCCACATGTGAATGCCTTACAAAAATGAATATTTTGGAGTGTCTTAGTCAAATTCTTTACTTAATTCATGGTGAGATGCATCGTCTGAACCTTAAACGGGACTGTTCATGCTCAAAAGAGCTAATAGATATTTGTGACCACTGACAAAAACTGGCATAACTTGAAGGAGCCTATAGCATTAACACTGAAGGATGTTGTGGGTCCAAAGACGTCCAGTTGTGAGAACTGTTTCTTTGGAGAGACTTTAAAGATGGGAAGGAGAAGACACACAGGGAACAATGGCCAGACATGAGAAGCAAACACAAGATGCACTGAGTAAAGTGCATCTTGTAAAGTAAAGTGAGCCAGTTGACTGGAGGAAGTAAAGGAGTGGAGCTTACTCCTTTATAAGGGTTTCACTGACTCCAAGGTGATGTTTGACAGTGTGCACAGGCCTTGACTTGGTCAGTAAAGGCCTTTTACTACTGAAAAAAAGCTATGTGAAGGATGTACTGAAGTGCCAGGATAACACCCTATAATATACTTGACATTTTCATACCAGCAATAATTGTTTCTGAACTGGAGACAAATATTTTCCTGTATTGGATATCGGTACATTGATAATAAGTTTACCTCTTTTCATCAGTCCCACATTAGATACCACTTTCCTTTGCCCCATTTTCTTTACTTCCTTCAAGTCAGTATATCCTACCTGTCACCATTTACTTCTGGAGAGGTTTTATAGCCCTGGCGACCTCTAAAGCAGGAGACACAGAGAATGTGCTGTGGATGTTTCACAGGCAAAGGGAATATCTTTGAATGACACTGTTGTAGAGCGGTTAGATATGTAAACCAGACTGGACATGTTCTCTGATTTACAAGAAGCACATCGAGATAAAGGGTAAGTCACATAGAAAACAAAGCTAGCTACACTAGAGAGCCTGAACGATACTCCAATTGACAAAAGATCTGATGGAGAGCAAGTAAAAGAGTTCATCCTTAAATAGTCCAAGTGAGTGAACAGTGGGTTACAATCAGATGTGCCAGCCAGGGAACCAGGGGAAACCTGCAGGTAGTGACACCTCTAGGGAACACAGGAAATTAATGAGAGATAGAGGAGGCAGAGAGAGAGCCATGGAAGGGGGGAAACAGATGGAAAAGATGGGCAAGCAGATACCATGACAACTTCTCTCACAGCCACATTCGAAGTATTTGATCTCTTGCTCTTTAGCACTGCTTTTATGGTGCCAGTAAATACCAGTCATCACAGAGAGGCTTGGGTGGAAGAACTGAGCAGTCCAGTATCAAATGAACGGTGGGAAGAAGGTCTGGAGCGTGGATAAGGCTTCTCTATCAGTTCTAGGTGTGGATTAATACTATTTGAAGTCTTACATTCTCTTATATGAAATCAAAATTCAGCAAGATTGTAATTTAATATTCTTTCTGACAGGGCCTTTACTTCCCAACCAATGAAGCTTGTTTGAAACCAAACCACGATTCATGAATTATGGTGCTATGTTGACATTTTTCTGTGCAAGTAGTAACTTTTTTTCCTTTGTTTGTGTTCTTGACCTTCCTGGCAGAGCGGGCAGCCTAACTTTTATGATTATTTTGTATTTTCTCCTGTTGAGGAGCAGTTTTAGACAGGGTCAACAAGGGGTGCTAGAATCACCCAGTGACCATCATCAACAAGCCTGGGATGAATGGGAGAGTAAACTCAAAGCTGGTTAAGGAAGACCTTCAATACATGTCCTGCTTTGACATCATGAACCAGAACATGTATTACAATGCTTTTAAGAATACTTCCAGAAATAAAAATGCACTGAAGGACATAAGATGTTGATTCAGAGGCAGAGATTTCTTCAGAAAAGAGGCAGGACAGACTGTCCACACGTCTGTCCATGTGTCTGTCCTCTCACCTCCATAAAGCTTAAAAAGCTTAAACAGGAGAGATGATGGCACCAAATCTGAGTTTAAAAGACAACATTTTATTAAAGCGAAACAAGTCATAACTACAAACGCAGAGTAATGTCAGTATAGTTTTTGGACAATGATGTAATTTGGTAATTTTTATCTATCAAGACATTTAAGTTAAATTAATATGACATATACGACAAATAAAATCTTTTCAGCTTCAACTAAAGTCATTAAACAAAAATCTGGTATTCATATGTAAGCAGCTTATGCTGTGGCTAAACAGTGTAGACTTGCTGTAGACATGCTGTGCTGTCACGTCTGTCTAGCACCTGCAGCTCACTTCTCATGTTGCCACTACATTTTCCAGCTGCTTATTTAGCATTACGAGCTGTAAGCTGCAAACTAGGAGAGTGGGTCCAGCAGATTCCAGGCGCAACATCAGAGGTCTCTGTCCAGTTAAGATACTACGTAGCAATACTCCAAGCAGAGCAATGGACACACACACCACACATACCCCCTCCCCCAGTTTTTAAATGATGTCTTTGTTCTTTCCCTTTTCAGGCTCGGTTGGATCAGCACCCCCTGAGGCTGGCTCTGCGTCTCTTCTTACAATCTTACCAGGGAGCCTTCAGATGCATAAGATACATGTGTTATTGCACCTTGGAAGCACTTTATTAGTAATGACATAAACTACTGCTGCTATTATTACTACTACTGGCGATGATAATGATATGAATTTCTTTTGTTAAATGTATTTATCATACATATTTAGAAATCTCTTTAACTACATTATCAAGACAAAATGTATTTCCAGATAACCAAACTTTAAGACAGGGTCCTTTTTCTTTCTTACAAAGTAAAGCCTAAATGACAATGAAATGTGGTTTGTAATGTAGTTTTTCAGTTTATTTTTAGTAACAACACTGTTAAAAAGTCGTCTGTTAATCTGAACTTCTGAGAAGCTGATGCTGGTAAAGAATGCTAAACGTAAGCAACACAATAAAAAAGGGGGGTTTCATGTTAGTTCGTCCAGCAGATGGCAGCCTTTCTCCAACATTCAAAGGAAATGCTCGGCAAACCACAGAAGAAGAAACTCATTTTGAAATGTGTTGAATGAATTCGCTGGGCTAAGAAATTCCTGGCTACTTATTAGAACTTAAGTTTAACTAAACATTTTTTCACAACTGTTGTAGCTTACGGTTTGAGGTGATAATGTCGGGGATTCCTCCGGACACATGGCAGCCTCCCACAGTGGCTTTGGAGACGACGTAAGTCCCCAATGAAACACTGGATGCTAACTCAGCTAGCTTTGAGGAACCTGAAGTGTTGGTGTCTGTTGCGTTAACAAATTTTGCATATTTTATTTTTTCACAATCTTTTTAACAAACCGCATGAAGCATAGCACGTTTCTGCTAAAAACTAGTTTAAGAGACAGCCTTTGTTATTCAGAGCCGCTAAAGACATGCTAACTGGCCGTGCGTTGCAGGATGGGGACTGTTGTGGTGGAGCTGTACTGGAACCATGCACCAAAGACATGCAAGAACTTCGCAGAGCTGTCCAGAAGAGGCTACTACAACAACACCAAGTTTCACCGGATCATCAAAGACTTCATGGTGCAGGGAGGAGACCCCACAGGAACAGGTGGGTTCGTCACAGATAAGTGTTTGAATACCACTGTCCACATGTTAGGTAACAGGTTCATGATTTGAGTAGGCTAAATGCTACTTAAGAGTGTCTAGATTACTAAACATGTCAGTCACTTTAACATGAAGCTAAGTAAATGTAGATGTCTTTCGTATTGTTCCAATTTACAATGTATTGTGTTTTTTCCCCTCCCCTAATACACTGACATGACTGTTTTATGACTGTGCACAAAGCAAACTCTGTAAATGAAGTTTTGGTGTTGATGCTGCCCAATATTACATTCCCGCTCATTTGGCTGTAAACCAGCCAGGTTCCAAAATTCTTATATGGAATCATGAGGGCTGTTGAAGCAGCATATTAATGCTCGTAGTTTTATAATCAGTCAGAACTCTTAATATAGATCCAGTGTTCAGGTGATTAACATGACTTTTAACCAGATGCTTTGTTTGTTAATACAGAACTTCATTAAACGGTGTGTTTGCATATGCAAATAATATTTACAGATGCTTATAATACTGTATATTATACAGTTGCTCTTTTTCTTTGCCATCAAAAGCATGTCTGTATTTTTCCCAGAAAAATATGTAATTTTCTTAATATTGAATCCTCTTTTATACATACTAATCAGCCACTTTATTAGGTACACCTTGCTAATATTGGTTGGAGCCCCTTTTGCCTAAAGAACTGCCTTAATTCTTCATGGCACACCTTGAACAAGGTGTTGGAAACATTCAGCTTTGTCCGCTGGACATCTCCTATTTAATCTCAACTTTCATCAAAGATGCTCTATTGCAGGGGTCTCAAACTTGAATGAGCTGTGGGCCACTGTCATCTCATGCTGTGTGAATTGTAGCCTCAGTTTCATGTTTTTAACTAACAGGAGTGGCACGCAGTGTGATCTGCTGTATCCCGTCTGCTTCACGCTTCAATACGCTGTGTTCTGCATACCTTGGTTGTTGCTATTTGAATTACTGTTGGCTTCATATCACTTAAAGAGGTCTGTCCATCCTTATCTGACCTCTGGCATCAACGAGGCATTTTTGCCCAGAGAATTTTCTCTTTTACAGACTGTAAACCCTGGAGATGGTTGTGTGATCAGCAATTTTGAAGTACTCCTGCTAAGTTCAAAGTCACTTAAATCACCTTTCTTCTGCATTCTGATGCTCAGTTTAAACTTTATTGTCGTCTTGAACACGTCTACATGCAGAGTTACTGCTATGTGATTAGGTTTTTAGATTAATGAGTAGTTATGTGTATATCTAATAAAGTGGCCCTGTCACTACTGTCTGATTAATTTCACATGTTCATGGTCTTCAGAAAACTCATCCAATGCGCCACTTGTAATGTTTGTTTTCCAAACAGGTCGAGGTGGTGCCTCCATTTTTGGCAAACAGTTTGAGGATGAACTACAGCCAGAACTAAAATTCACAGGTAATGCACGTAGAAGAACAACACTGGAATAGATGTGCAGGTGAAAGGCTTTTATAGGCTTATAAAGACAGGCTCTGGAGCAAATCCTTCAAATCATTTGTGTGTCAGTACTGATGTCTTAATCTGTTATTTGTATGCACATGTTCACATATGGACGCTTTATTTTTAGATTCAAATCTTCAGTAGAGTTCATGTATACCAATAATTTGTAAAGATTTCTGGTGTTTTTGAAACATTTCTTTAGTTCACAGCTGAATAAACTGAGTCCAGTGATCCTGATAAATACCTGAGTGATAATTGATAGTGAGGACATTCATAATTTCTCATTATGTCTCTGTGCCTGTTAGGTGCCGGTATTCTAGCGATGGCCAACGCGGGGCCGGACACCAATGGCAGTCAGTTCTTCCTCACCCTCGCACCCACTCAGTGGTTAGATGGAAAGCACAGTATTTTTGGAAGAGTGTGTCAGGGGATGGGAGTGCTGAACCGGATTGGGATGGTGGAGACGAACAGCCAAGATCGTCCAGCTGATGATATCAAAATTCTCAGAGCAAATGTATCCAGTTAAATGAAACTTTTGTTTGTTTGTTTGCTTTTTTTAAATAAATATCTTTTTAATGTAAGTAAAATGTGTTTTCTTCAGCTGTGCAAATAACCTGTAGACAATATTAACCCACCGAACTGTTAGACATTCCTACTTAGTTATCACTATCAAAACAAATTACGTTTTAACGCCAAATTGATTATTACAATGTGTATTGGTTATAAGTTTTGACTCCGCAAGGAACAAAAATAAAACCACGAGAGCAATTAAATGACGAGCAGCATCAATCAAATATGTATTACTGCATATCTGTAAAATGAAAGCTCCGGAGAGACACAACGAGTGTCTACAAACATCTGTAAAACACGTTGGAGGAGCTGAATTTCAGCCAGTTGTTTGGGATTTTTTCAAATTAATGTAATTATGAACACAGAAAAGTGCCATCAGATTGTCATCCACCATGCAATGCCATCTGGAAAGCATGTGATTGGCAACAGTTTTATTTTCTAGCATGACAACAAGCCCAAACAAACTGTCAATGCTCCAAAGACAATAGAAACTGATCCGTCATGGATTGGCCCGCACCATGGAGTCTGTATCTGTCACACTCTCTCAACATATTCACTTAAATTACAGAAAAGCTTTCAAAGTGAAAGCTAAATTATTCCCCAAAGTATTTTATTATACAAATTCAAGGTCAAATATCAAGACACATTTAAAAAGTCTTGTAACCAATACAGTAATCCAAGAAAATACAATGCACCTTAAAGTAAAAGTAATGTTTAAGGCATAGGAGTTCAGTTATAAATGTAAGGAGCAAACAACCACTTTTTGGCAGACTTGAGCAATATTTATTTGGTTTATTATACATGTTGATTAAAAAAAAGAATATCATGAAATATACTCTGAATGCTTAAAATACATAGGGATCGTTAGGCCTAGTGTTTCCTGATATGTGTGTGTAGCACAAGCAACATGAAATACATACCAGAAAACGTCAAGGAGAAATCTTTCCAAAGGACACAAGTTACTCCTCAGTTCCAGGTAATTAAAAAAGGAGGGGGCACTAAAGGAGTCTGAAGTAAAAAAACAAAACTGACCTGTGTTGCTTACATTCAGTGCCAAAAAACTATAGGAATATAAACATAAAAAAGGTTCAGAACACTGAAAACTTGATGTGCGATCCTTGACATTACTTAGCATGTCAGCATGTAGCAATGTTCCTTGACCTTTGTTCTATAAAATGTAAGTTTTTATTTTTCATGCGTATGTTATAAAGCATTTTGTATCTTGTATGTTGTAGCTGTAAAGCTACAGACTTAGTGAAGCTAATCTTTTTCATTTTAAATGTTATGAAGGTGTTTCTACGCAGGTTATTTAAGTATTTAGAACTTGTGAGAATGGAAAAAAATGTTTTAAGAATATTTAGATTTCATAAAAAAATAGATATAATTTTTAAAACAGGTTCTGACTGAGAGAGGAACAGAAAAACAGCCTTTTACTTTTCAATTTGTATGAATATATAAAAATGTTGTATCAAAATAACCCAGATTTCCATGAAACATCACAAAAACACAGTTGATGTAATGTTGGAAATCATTAAAAAAGTAAATACTTTCATCATAAAAACTTGTTAAACTGTGAATATGTGTTTTCAGCTCAATACTTTTAAACACTAAAAGACCTCGCTTTTATGTTTCTAAAAAATAAAAAAAAACTTGTTTATGCTGTCATGGTGCAAGGGGCTGCACGGCGCGTTGACGCCATGCAGCATGAGGCGATCCGCGTTAACGGAAATTTGCCGCGTTAATGCAGTTATGGTGTTAACGTCATTTTAACGAGATTTAACGCTGACAGCACTAGTTTTAAAATCTCTATTCACTGTGTTGGTCTATAAATAATAATTGTAAGTTTCTTTTCAATCTCAACGTCGATGTGTTTGTAGTGAGTTTAAAGTAAAAAGTCAAGTAGATTGTTACTGTTGTTAGGGTTTGAGGTATTTGAAATGCAAATTAAAGTCATATCAGAGGCTCCATATCAGTGTAGTATTTTATACATTCAACCTCTAACAGATAGACCCTTTCACCTTATAAAAAAGTATTAACACCAGCCACCATATATGTGCATAATAGAGGACCCACACCTTAAGTATTATTTAAAACGCAAATTAAAAGGTACGTTTAAAGATTTGCATTTCAGTGAATATGGCTGAACAGTTATTTTGGGGCACGTAGTGAATCATGGACATTTATCATTTCCTTTTCCATTCCTCGAAGATCACTTGCAGGCTGGGAGCTGGTCTTCAGACGCTTGGTAAAGGAATTAATATTGTCAGTTATTATCAGTTATTATCACTAACAGCCGACAGTAACAACATCACTGACCTGCCAGAGACTCCCTCTTCCTTTGGCCAGTTTGTAGATCATAGTGACTGGGATCATAGAAAGCGACGACAGCGCGAGGAACCAGCCAATGCAGTAAGCCCACCAAGGATACATGTAGGTGTTGTTGAATTTCAGTGGGGTGTACCTCAGGAGCAAAAATACAAGTGTTCCCTTTAAAGGAAAACATAAATAATAAACATTATGGGATGAATTTCCCATGTGTGGGACTAATAAAGCTTATCTTATCTTATCTTATCTTATCTTATCTTATCTTATCTTATCTTATGAGAATAGAGCATATTGATAAACTGTTTACAGAAGCTGCTTTAGAAACTTACACTGCAAATGAGAGGGGTGGCATAGAGCCAGCAGTACTTGATCAGTGGCAGAGGTCTGTATCCAATCATGTCCTCAATGTTGGTGTAGAAGCGATCGGCACCTAGAACAGAGACAGTTTACTAGAAAGAAACTTGTGTTTAACTTTTAATATTTCCCCACAACAAAATTATATTTTTAACGTTTTTACAATGAACACTTTTTCAAATGACAGTTATACAGTGAATATGGGCTTTCATTTAAGGAGGAGGCCTTTGTCAATTGTTCAGGTTCCTCAAATTATTTTAAGGACACGCTGCATACCATGCTAATATATGCCAAGTTTTCAGCTAATAGTTCTTTGAGAATCACCTTCTTGGTACAAAAATACTATTTTATGCCATTTTTTCATAAAATCAACCAAAGAAAAGGGAATAAATTATGTTTTTGCCTAAAGATACAATATAAAATCAGTTATTTGCTTGTATTTTATTTGTAGACACAACACTAGTTCATCCCTTGAATTATGTGTTTAACAAACAAAATAAAACATTTCTCTGAAAATGGGCCGGTACAAGAACTGGACTGACAATAAGTGAAAACAGCCAACGTCCAAAGAAAAACCTTGAAATACCTTCAGAAAGCCTGGAGTATTATTCAAGACAACTTAAAAAATATAATAAGATAATCTGACTCCTTGAAAGCTAAATATAAGAAAAAAAGATGCAGGGCTGGGTGTGGGGGGCTTGGGGACTCACACCATTCAGCTATCCACTCGTGCTGATTATGCGAAAAAGTAACATCTTGCAAATACCTTCCAAATAACACTGAATCCGATAAGATGCAATAAGTTCAATAGCAAAAAACCCTGCATCCCCATCTTTCAGTTGATACTGTGCCTCTTTAGCAGGTCCTGACAGTTGCTTTTTAATGACAAAAAAGGCTTTGTGCTGTAAATCCAGCCCTACATGTGCATGTATATACAGCATGTATAGAGAATTACAAGATATATTTTGGTAATAATAGTGGACAGTTATTAGGACGTCACTATAAAAAGACATAAAAACCAAAGACTTTTATAACAATAATAATTTTGTCTTACCATAAATCCATCCAATCGTAACTGACTGGAAAATTGCCATCAGCAGCAGAGTAGGACCGCTGCAAACATAGTGATCGAAGATCTGCAGAATGTATGCACCAGCCTAAAATTAAAACATTCATCATGTTAATCTTGAAGCTATTCACACTTATTATCTAGTATATCCCTTTTTTCAACAACTTTGATATCCTACAAATTTAGAAAGCAAAGTGAACTCTATATTATACTAAAAGAAGCATTAGGACAAAATCTCATCAACAAATTTCATAAATCTCCAGACAGGGGCATGTTTACCAATAAATTAGGTTAATTGGGTTAATATGCTCTTTGTGAACTGAAGAAACCATTTGCTGCAGTTTTGAAAGACAGCCGCTTCTCCACTCAGGTCTGGGTTGATGAGATTCCCACACCCCATCACTCTGTTGTGTCCTGCCTGGGCCAACCTTCCTAACCCTTCTAAAAACACCTTGCCTACAAATTGACCAAACTGCTCTGTAACTGTAAGCCTAAGTCCCAGATGCCCTTCAAAGTACATCCATTTTTGCTAATTATTTCCAATCTTGTCCTTTTGACCACAACCCATAGCTCGTGGTTATAAGTGAGGCTATGAACATCCCTGTCACTGTTCCTACCACTCTTCTCACTCAAGACCCTGAGGTACTTGAACTTTTCTACATGTGGCAGCAATGCCAACCAACTTGGAGCGGGCATTCCAATCTTTTCAAACTATGAAACATGGCTTCAGACTTCAAGGTGGTAATTCTTATTATTGCTGCTTCCCATTTGCCAGCAAACTGCCACTTGATGAAGCCTGAAGGACCACATCATACACAAAAAGCAAGGTTGTGATCATGAGTCCATTATGTCTCACACTCCAGAATCAGAAACAAAGGGAATTCAACACCCACCAAACCTGACATTGCTATTAATTCAAAGCGTGGTCTCACTATTGTTGTGAAGGAACTACAGCAACGGTCCCAGTACTACATACACCTGAAGTGTCCTCGCAGGACACCCAGACTCCCCTGAGCACATGCAGACATGTGATTTTTGTGCTTCCCTTGTTTTGATTTCTGTTTTGTCATACCCATGATACCAAGCCCACCAAGCCTGGGGCATTTACAAAAACACTGCACAAGATCCATATAAAAAGCAGGTGCCATTAAATATTCTGATTTACACAACCATCATTTTTTGTAGCACTACATTTTTCCGGTCTTGCATTGCCACTTTCCCAACTTTTATGAAATGAATTTCAGGCATGAAAGTTATAATAAT